GAGGTGATTGAAAGCTGGAAGCAGCACTACGATGAACATCTGAACGGCGCAGAGGCGGAGGACCAAGGCGGCAGGAGGAATGGCTTCGTCGGTACAGCACATGAGGGGGACATACCAGCTCCCACGATAGGTGACGTTAACGGACCAAATCTTTACGTTGCGGCAGATCCTCCAAAAGTGTCGTGAATATCAAGTCCCTACGCACCACCTATTCGAAGGTTTCAAGGCAGCTTATGATACTATTGACCGTGAAGAGCTATGGAAGATTATGGACAAGAACGGTTTTCCCGGGAAGCTGACCAGACTGATCAGGGCTACGATGGAAGGTGTACAGTGCTGTGTGAAGATATCGACAAGGCGATGGTCTTTCCTGCCTCCTGTTCAAAATTGCGCTAGAAAGTGTTATGAAACGTGCGGGCTTTAACATGCGGGGCACGATCTTCAATAAGTCCAGCTAGTTCATCTGCTTCGCTGACGACGTGGACATTGCCGGAAGAACGTTTCAGGGCGTGACGGAGCAGTACACCAGGCTGAAACGTGAAGCAGAGAAGGTTGGATTAAAGGTGAATTCGTCGAAGACAAAGTATCTGTTAGCTGGAGGAACCGAGCGGGATAGGGCTCGCATAGGCAGAAGCGTAGCAATCGACGGGGATGAGTTCGAGGTGGTGGATGAAATTTGTGTACCTCGGATCATTTATACTGTCGGATAACAACTGCAGCGGAGAAATTCGTCGGCGTATTATTACCGGAAGTCGTGCTTACTACGGACTCCGCAAGACCCTGAGGTCGGGTAAACTTCACCTCCGTACTAAATGTACCATGTACAAGACGCTGATAAGACCGGTAGTTCTCTATGGGCACGAGACGTGGACGATGCTCGAGGAGGACCTGCAAGCACTGGGTGTTTTCGAACGACGAGTGCTTAGGACCATCTTTGGCGGGGTATGTGGCAACGGTGTATGGAGGCAAAGGATGAACCACGAGCTGGCACAACTCTATGGCGAACGCTGTATCCAGAAAGTTGCGAAAGCTGGACGGTAAAGTAAACACGTCTAGTTTGGTGGGTTGTCTAACAAGTTCTGAATTCGTATATTTCTCTTGTTCCTTTACATACTCAACTTCCCTTTGTGGGACTCATTCTCTTCAGAGCTCTCACTCTCCAAGTGAGGTTTAGACGAGTTCACTACAACTCCTCCTTCCTTAAGTTTGGAATACAAAATACTTTAATTGAATAAATACTTGTAAATTCAATAGCTTTTAATCCACTTAAAAAAAAACTCATAAATCGAAAACAGAAGGTTCTGTCAAATATTTGAATTGCTTATTCAAAAATTTACTAAATTTGAATTGATTTAAAACAATGTTCGATACTATTAATAATAGTGAAAATCTTATTTTCTTCGCTTCTTATGTTTTCTCTTAGATTTTCTAATCGATTCCACAGGTTGCGAAAATTGTGGTAGTTCAGTCGATTCATTCGATAGGGGTTCTTCCTCCCTGTAGATAAACGAATCAGCAGCGAAACCATAAAATTCTGGTTCTGATTCCGCATCTTCCCCGAAGTATTCTTCATCCTGGTTTCGTTTTCTTTTGCTAGTTCTAATGTTACAATCGTTTTGTTGTGCTGGTGCTGGTTCAACTAAATTCTCTCCTTGGAAAACGTCACTTCTCTTCGTTTTCCGGCGAAAATGTATTGGTGCCTTGATCTGGCGCCTATGAGCAGAAATGATCCTGCCGCCGAGGGAGACTTTTTATCCCGTCAACTAATTTTTCATCCTTGAGTGCGTTGATTTGTTCTAGCTGAGTAACTGGGCTACTAAAAGTGTTTCTCCATCCAGAGTAAAAAATGTCAAGCCATGTTCGCCCCATAAGCGGCACAAAATCGTTCTCACAACGTAGGATAATCAAATTAAGTTGTTTCGTTCTGTTTCCTAGCTGCACCTGGACTTCCGCTTTCCCAAGAACTTTAAGCTTTTTACCGTCTATCACAACTAGCTTTTTATTGCACTGTTCAATTGCTACGTTTTTAAAGTTTCTCAAGAACAGTTCCTCGGATATTACACTTTCTGCCGATCCACAATCGACCTCCATAGTCAATCTCTTTCTTTGTATAGTAGCTTCAACATAGCACGGCTCATTTATTCTATTTATTGAGGAGATCATCATGCAATTCATGCTTGTATCCTCCTCACTATCCGAATTCAAATCCTTTTTAAGACGTTTAAAAAGACCTGAAGTTTCTGAAATAGGAAGTATAGGCGAATCTACAAACTTAACACTCCGGAAATCTTTACGCGGGCTCTTCCCTGTTAATCGGTAGCAATATTTCCTAGTGTGTCCTTTTTTCTTACAAAAAGAACATAAAAATGTCGGCTTCCCAGAATGCGTTCTTCTTCTATCATCGTATCTACTCCTGGATGAAAATGAGCGATTTCTATCATTGCTTCGACTAACACTCCTATCTCTTTGCCTAGAAGCAGACCGATCAGGTCTACGCCTAGAATCAAACCGGTCAGGTCTGCGACCTAATCTTGCAATAACACCAGATCTGTTTTCATTATCATTCTTCACCATTCGAGTTCTGTTAGCTGCCAATTCTTGGCTCAAAATAATCCGCTCTGCTTTTGCAGCCGTCAAATCTTCTTCATCAAACAAACGCTTTTGAAGATTTTGATCATAAACCCCGATCACCAAAACATCTCTGATCGCTCGCTCTTTAAATGTTCCAAAATTGCATAACTCAGCTAAAACTTTGACGTTCAAAACAAATTCTTCAGAAGTTTCATTCCTACCCTGCTTCCTTGTCCAAAAACGGTAACTGTGTATAACGTCGGAGTCGGTCTTATCGTAATGCTTCTTCAGTTCATCAATTATTTGTTTGTAATTCAACTGCTCAAAGTCTTGACCAGGAAAAAGTTTCTTTAAGTCAGAATAAACTTCCCGACCGCAAACAGCTAAAAATTTTGTCTTGTACTTTTCATCTGAATATTCATTCGCTTTAAAAACCCAATGCAGCTGTTCAAGGTATTCAACAAACGGGATAGAACCCGGTAGGTATGGCTCAGTAGCAGCAGTCGACATCCTGATACGGTTTGGTTTCTAAACCAAACACAAAACACTAACGGTTCCTCCACTCGGCAAAAATAGGCTCCACCAAACGATCTAAATCCAATCCAGCAAACAACACCGTGAATCCAATCAGCCAGCAAGCAACATCCAACAGCAGCGGATCGATCACTGCAATCGAACGACGATCCAGCAATTCCAACCAGCAGCAGCAGCAATTCAAGCAGCAACAGCACTTCCAGCAGCAACAGCGGTTCCAGCAAGCAACAACAGCAAGACCAGCGGGCTCTGCAAAACATTCACTGGCGAAATTTCTCAATCTCGCAATTCCTCCTTTCGAAAACCTTCGATTCCTAAGCCGGTCGTAGAGGTCACGTCACCAAATTCCACTGGTGTACGCATGCAGATGCAACAATGATGCTGTTTCCACTTGCACTTGATGAGACTCTCTTCACACGTTCTTCTCACTGACGTATGACAGCTGAACTGAATCGGGCCAACCGGTTCAATGCAACAGTGGTGGTGAGATCGGTACGAATTTGTGAGAATCGCGATAATAGCTTGTGTAGTGTTGGGCGTTTTGTCTTTCTCCAAAAAACAAGGTGCTGTATGATAAAATGAGAGGAAAAATTGTAGAACCTCTAATCACAAAAGATGCTTTGTAACCGTACAAAATGGCGGGAATTTCCCCTTTAAGTGGCGAAATTTAATCATTTAGTAATACAAAATGGCGATTTTTCTTTTGTTCAAAGAAATTCACAAAATGCCGATTAATTTTGTTCTGGATTAAAAATGCAACACAAAAACTAAACAGCTTGGTCTCAGAACAACATTTAGCGATTAAAAAGGGAAATAGAAAAAGAATGCTCTTGGCACATCAAAATCTTTTGTTCTCCCACACAAAAGAAATAACTTACGCCGAGTTTACATGCAGTTTTACTGGTTTTACTCCAAGCCACACCAAATCTTCACCAGATGGTTCGCAAAATTCACTTCAAAGGTTCAATTTCTTCTCATGCACGCAATAAATTAAATACTTTTCCACTTTTTAAACTTATAAAAATACTTGAAAAAAAAACTATTTCACCTCGTCGACACTAAAGTAAACACGTCTAGTTTGGTGGGTTGTCTAACAAGTTCTGAATTCGTATATTTCTCTTGTTCCTTTACATACTCAACTTCCCTTTGTGGGACTCATTCTCTTCAGAGCTCTCACTCTCCAAGTGAGGTTTAGACGAGTTCACTACAGACGGGTACGATGGGCGGGACACGTTTTAAGAATGCCGGACAACACTCCCGCAAAAATGGTGTTTGTCTCGAATCCGGCCGGTACAAGACGAATAGGAGCACAGCGAGCAAGGTGGTTAGACCCACTGAAGCAGGATCTTGGAAGTGTGGGACGGTCAAGAAATTGGAGACAAGCAGCCACGGACCAAGTGAATTGGCGTAACATTGTGATGCAGGTGCAATCCTGTGGGATGTCGGACCAGGATAAGTAAGTTTTGGGCTTGTTTTACATTCGAGCAAATGTTGTAGAATTGACATAATTTATGCATGGCCTCTCTTACAAGAGCTATTCAATGACAGCTGCTTTAGTATACATCACTTCTGGATATCTAGGCATGTTTTCCAGCTACTAGTTCTAAGCGTATAAGCTCCAGTCAGTAAGGTTTTTGAATTGGGCAGTGTTTAAAAATCTGTGGAAATTTCAGATATGAGATAATTTATTTCTAACTTACACAAACTTAGTTTTGTAAACTCCATTTAATGATAGAAAATAAAATTTGTCGATTTCATTGATTCCTTACGGATAACGGTCATTTGAATTTTTACCGACAAGTCAAAAACCCAGTAAAAAAAATACTGACTCCGGTAAAATAATCCAAGTATGTGAAGTCGTGGAACTGGTTATAGAAACACATTAATTGACGCTATACATTTATTTATTCATTCGATTTGACATAAAATGTTGCACATCTATTCCAATTCTACACATTCCAATGTGCTGCCATAAATCTAAAACGTGTTCCCACATTCGTTGCATAAATTACAATGAAGCTGAGCATCATTCTAAAACAAATCCAAATGTGTAAGATAGCTACGATGCTATTCCTACAATGAAATCTTTCTCCCTATAGGCTATTACAGCTGCTACATATTAGGCCCAATCGAAGGTTCCAAATTCAAACAGTCAGCCGAGTGATCTTGGTGTTGCATGATCGTTTGCGGTATCAACAGTTTCGTGTTCAACACGTACAGCGATGTACCATCATCCAGTGTGGTCGTCGTAGGAGTACTCGTCCCGGAAATCTCAAAATTAGATAGCTGAATTTGCTGCTGCTGCTGCTGAGGGTGAACATTGGTAGGCACTTGCTGCGTCACATCGAGCAGAGTGTGACTTTCGACCGAGGTGGGAATTGACGGATGGTCGTAGTTCAACATCGAATCGGGGACTATGGATTCCGGTTGCATGCACTCTTCGATGGTGGAAATGGTTATGATCGTTACATCGGGTTTTCTCTCCGGTGGGACGGTGGCATCACCCGTCTGGGAAGTGGAATTCTCACCAAACAGGTACAGCTTGCTCTGGGACTTGTAGTGCGAACGTTTGTGGCGATTCATAGTCGAACTGTGGTAGAACGTCTTGTCGCACAAATCGCACTTGTAAGGTTTCTCACCTGAAGATTTTAAATAATCCAATTAAAGCAACAAGAATCAACTAAAAAAATAAAAATCAATATGCAGCATACCCGAATGGATCCGTTTGTGAACCTTCAAAGCACCGGCTTGCGAAAAATGCTTCCCACACAGATCGCACTGGAAAGGGATCGCATCGTTGGTGTGCAGTCGCTGATGCCGACGTAAGTTGGACAGCTGCTTGAAAATTCGTCCACAAACGTTGCATTTTATCGAATTCGGATTCCGATGGTAATGCTCGTGTTCCGCCAGTTGGATGCTATCCTTGAAGCGTAGATCGCAAAATTCGCACTGCGTCTCCTCGATCGTCAACGGGTGGTTGTTGACAATATGATCGGACAGGTCCCGATAGCAGCTGAAAACGCTAATGCAGAAGCGACACTTGCATTCAATGCTGATATCCGGTGCGGTGCACTGTAGAATATGTTCCTTGAGGAGTGGTTTAATCCGGAAGCTTCTGAAGCAATTCGTACAGGTGAATGGTCTCTCTCCGCTGTGAATGCGGCGGTGTTCGATCAGACGAATTGTTTCCTTGAATCCTCGATTGCATATCTCGCACTTGTAGGGAGCATCCTGGGAATGGGTCCTCTCGTGTTGGAGCAAACAGGAAGATTTGTTGAAAATCTTGCCGCAAATTTTGCAAATGTACTGAACCTTTCCGGTGTGGATATTTTCATGTCTTCTAAGAGTACTTAGCAGTGAATAGGAATTTCCACAATATCCGCATTCGTAGCGTTTCATTCCATCGACGATGATGATCTTGGTTGAGATCCGTGTGGCTTCGATTTTCGCCACCGCTTTTTCGTCTGCTTCCTTCTCTTGGGCGTGTGTCCTTTCGTGAGCTTGGCAGGCCACCACGGAAATGAATCTCTCACTACAATACACACATTTGATCGGCTTCTCCGGTTCCTCGTGCGAGGCCAGATGTTTATTCAGCAAACGAACTGAAGTGATTATCATTAGTTCATCGCACTTGTGGCACGAGTAAGGCAATTTGTCAACGTGAATGCTCAGATGATCGTTCAGTGCGTCTTTGGAATCGCATGGTTTCAAATCACAAAGGTAGCATTTATTGCGACGATTTAGGAACTCCTCATCATCGGTGATCTTCATCTCGTGGTTCCGTTCGTGCCGTTCCAAATTGAACTTGGCAGCGAATCGTTTATTGCAGTACCGACATACGAAGCGTCGGTTTGCATTCCGAATGGTATCGTTTTCCAGATCCGCCTTGTGGAACCGTCTCTGGTGAGCCGTTCGGTGGATTCTCGTAGCGAAACGTCCCTCGCAGTAGTTGCACTTGTGAGGTTTGCTCGGATCGTGCATTTCAAAGTGTCGGTTAAGCGAGCAAATGCTTTTCAGTTCACCCGAGGCACATCTATCGCAACGGAATGGAAGCATATCCAGATGCTTTTTCCGCAGGTGATTTTTAAGCTCGCGTCGAGTCGTGAATGTCATTGAACAAATATTGCAGTTTGGTTCCTCTCGGACTCGTTCGCCATCGTCATCATCCGGAAAATCGTTTGAGTCATCTGAATCTGAACTGCTCTTGAACACTGCCTTCGCTTTCTTTCGCTTCCTTCCTCTTGAAGCTGCTTTCGTTTGTTTCAGTTTTTTCAAGCGCTCTGCAAGTGGTATATCATCTTCGTCTTCAGTTTTGACTAAAAGATCCTGTTCGACTAGAGGTGGATTCCTTTCCGTTAATGGAGTTTCTTCCAGTACTTCCTCTTTCAAAATCTTTAGCAAATCGGGGTCCTCATCCTCAGGTTCACTTTTAATCTCGATAGGTTGAACCGATTCCATATCAGCAGCTGCCATCATGGAAGCCGGAACTGCTTCCGTTTCCGGGAGCAGTTTGTCCGCGGATGGACTCTCTTCATTATCACTTTCGTTTTCCCGCTTGACGATGTAAATTTCCTCGATGGCATTGCTTGCCGATATGAATTGCCTTCAAGGTGCGAATAAATTGTAAGGATCAATCTTCGACGAAGGAACCAACATTACATACCTCAGTAACATCCTTGGACGGTTATCGCTATCATTCAAGGAAGCCTTAGAAGGTCATAGCACACTTTTCTTCAATACCTACTGCAGATTTAGGTCAACTTCGTACTGCGCTTAATCATTGCTATCGATCGGAGCTATTCACATGCAAAACGATACACAAATGTATCCAAAAGCAGTACTTGTTCGTAAATTTGGAATTTTCTAGCCGCATCAGCACCTTGAGCAACTATTTTTTCTGAAGAATAATTCTTCTGTAAACAAACGACCGTTCTGACGTTTTCTTCTATGTGCGCCACATTAGCCCGTGACTTTGAGTTTGACAGTTGTTGTTTTGCTTTGCGCTAATTCAAATCAATCGTCACTTTTTTTTAACCGGTGCGATACGCGAGAGTTCGTTGATGTAAACAAAGTACAGTTTCTTCCAGCAAAGTGTAAATTTCTGTGATTCTTCGGCAATGGATAGCTATTTCATTGATCCGCAGCGAAGGCGGGCAGTTAAAGTGTTATTTCCCAACCACCCGCTATCGGTCAACAGTGAATGCTACGGTCTGCGAAACCAGCTCAAGTACAATGTCGTTGTGGAGAAGATGGATCTAGTGAATCTGATTGTAGGTTACAGTGAGCCCGATCGTTTCACGGATTAATAACACGGAACGTTTTTTTCCTCTCCAGCAAATTCGCTTGACCGAGTGCAATGATCAATCGAAGCTGTTCATCGCTACCATCGATAACAATATCTATGAGCGGATTCGTGTCGAGCAGTCCCTTCACGTCACATTCCAGGGATTCATTGATCATTTGACGAAAATTTTGGACAACTGCAAGAAGGAAGAACTCCACATGAGCCTGGTCAAAGACGATTCCGTTCAGTTGCTGCAATTCTACGAAAAGAGTTCATTTAAAAATCTCACCCACCTATTCCTGCAAATTGAGCCAGCATCGACGGAAACGATACTTTTCCACATAAATCAGTCACTGCTGTCGTTTCAAGACCAAGCGGCTAACTATGCATGCCAGGTTCAAAAATATCAACTAGAGCTAAATGGCCGAGACGAGAGCATACACAGGCTTCAGGGAGAAATTCGTGTGCTCAATAACAAACTGGTAGAACAGGAGAATATGATTTTCAGCCGAAACACCGAGGAGACCAACCGACTTCAGCAAACAATCAAACACATCAACGAGTCGAAGGATTTGGAGGAAAAGCGCTTGAAAACTGTGATATCCAGTATGCAGGAAAAGATCGATCAGCAGAATAAGGAAATCCTGTTCAATGCTGATAAAATGATGCATGTTCTGAACGATCGCGCAAACCGTCAAGTCATTCTAACAAAATCTCTATTTTAGGCAAGAAGCAAAACGCTACGAAGCTCTCCGAGAGGAGAACATCAAACTGAAATCGCACAACAGTCACCTGCGCGAGGAAATGGATCGATACAAAACGGAGCTGCATTCATATCAAAGCCGTGACGGACGAAACGAATCCACCATCGTCGATCTGCGGCGGCAACTGATCGAACTGCAGAGTAAGCTGAAAATTTCCGAAAAGCAGAAATCAGAACTGGAAGCCGAGCTGGAAGCGGAGCGCAACATTTGTCAGACGAAGAAAAACGCCCTCCAGCTAACGACAGACGATATCGCAAATTCCAACGTTATGATTTCGAATCTTAACAAAGAAATCCTGAAGCTAAAAAGCAAAATCGAACTGCGGACAGAAATTGCGATGAAGCAGGAGAAATTGATCCAGGAAAAAGAACGGGAGAACAACGAACTGCAGGTAATAGTGAAACAGATCCAACAGGAACACACCAAGAATCGAACTGCCAGTGAGGAATATGCCCAAGCTGTTCGAAGGATCAAAGAGACGTCGGATGCCATCGAAGAGAAATACCGAAAAAGTATGTATGTTTTCAAGTTAATTGTGAACCTTTTGCGAATTTATTAACTTGCAGAAATTAACGACATGATTATGAAAGTATCTCACAATCAAAACATGGAACCGGTATCAGTGCTGAACTCGCAAATACACAATCGCTACCTAAGGCCGCATAATCGGATCGATTAACGATTTATCATTTCATCAATTGTACAGTCAACTTAATTTTAATTTTCAAAATAAACCTAAACAAATGGGTAATGCTTTACTCGTCATCCTCCTTGTTACCCGCGGTAATTGCTGCCGATGCCACATTCACTGCCTGTAGTATATCGTCCTGGCCGGCTTTGAGTCGATCCCGGATCAGCTCAGCTATCGCTTTCTGCGTTCGTCGCTCAAGTTTTTCCAGCTTCTTCGATACGTCTCTCTTCAGATCCCAGTCCGGTTTCCGGGGAGCCAGATTTACTATGTCGATTTCCTCGATGATGATAGGTGCCTTCATCATCTCCAGCTGGGAACTGACTTCCGTCTCGACGTCGGTTGGCTTCACCTCTTCGAGGGCACTTTCCTTGATCTCTTCACTTTCGGGCCGGTAGTTGCGAAATACAGGTCTGAAAAGGACAATAATCGTTTGGAACCGAATTCTCGTTCTTTGAAGGTGATGATAATAATTATTACTTGGGAATCGCAGCTGCTGATTGGTCTTGTTCGCCATTGGCTGAGGAATCCTGTTTCCGCTTAAGATTTTTCAAACGCTCCTTCCGCTTCAAGGCTTCCTCCTCCAGCTTTCCTACAGAGTTCATCTTTGCACTGTTATTTTACCACTGATAATTAATTTAGTGAACTTTTGAATGATGTTATGCGCTCGGTTTTGCGTCTAATTATTATAGGTAGAACCTGGTAGAACAAAGTAACAAAAGCACATTACAAAAAAAAAACAATATTACATCCAAACGATTCGACAGATACATCTATTTACCAACAATTCGTAATCGATGTTAGCCCTAATTGAAAACTTTGCTACCAAGCCATTCGTTAGCGTTAGCAAAAGGTTAGCGCTCTTGATTTGATTTGTTGGTAACTGATACACTCTAAACGAAAACACCCCTTAAACGGTCGAGCGCTTACACGGAAAGGAATGCTGCAGTGGAATCTACCATATTGGGGGTTTAAATTAAACGTAACGCACCTACGTTTTTTTGCAGACTATATCAGTGCTAACATTTGAAAACGGCACAAAAGCCATTTGTAAACAAATGGTTTGTGGGCCCTTTACTCACTACTTGAAGTACACCCACGCGACACAACAGCACACAGCAAAAAAAGTTGTTGAATATTACATCGAAACTGATGCAACCAGGTCAATCCATCGGTTGTGTAATATCACATTGTACGATGTACATCGATTTTGCGAACAAAATTACATCCATTGATGTAATATTGTATCTGCTTTTTGCTATTACATCATTATTTCATACATCAGCTTGAATTACGTTGATCGATATTACATTTTTTTTGCTGTGCAACATCGGGTAGGGGAAATTTTCCCCTTCCTGACGATGCTGTTGGTTTGCGTGGGCGTTCTTCGGGTAGCGAGTAAAGGGCCCACAAACCATTTGTTTACAAATGGCTTTTGCGCCGTTTTCAAATGTTAGCACTGATATTGTGTTGTCACAACGAGTACAAGTGTAGTCAAAAACACTATACACTAAAAATACACATTTCATGGTGTTTTCAACCGTGCATGCTCAATATTTTACTATGGGTTGTTGCCCTGGGTTTTGCATGGGCTTTAGTAGATTTTACTATAACTAATACTGATTTTTACTATACTCCGTGATGTTTTACTATGGCATGGAATATAGTGGTTTTTTATTCATAAAAAAAATCACATTTTTTTCAAAATAAAATGGACCTTAATTTATTAATTTCATTTAAATTATAATTTAAATACAAATAAAAACGATCAACAATCATTCCTGGTATATCCAGATTTTTTGATCGACGATGCTTCCAACCTTGCTTATAGTATTGGTCTTGGTATCGATGCTATTTGGTTTCAAGATCTGGATTTCAAAACAACTTTGTCAGAATTTACTCTTAAATGGTCAGCTCTCCTCAGGGGGTAAGTCACTCTGCCACCTTGTGCTAAACACATCAAAAACACCTTCGACACACTCAAACACCCATTAATCACCATGAGAACAATTTTTCAATCTTTTTTGGCAGCACTGCCTAGAGCCAAGAATGTTTACATTCGTGTGATGCTCTTTTTTTGTTTTTGTTGCAATTTTCTTAAGTAGATCACCCTCCAGCAATCGGTAGGATTCCACAGAAATGTGATCAGGACACGGACTCCTGATTTCGTCGAACATCTGTCAGTATCAGGGTCGGTAAGCGGAATTTCGAGCGGTGGACCGAGTTGCGACGATCTGGAACGGGAGGATTATGACGGTTCCGTGTTCGACGTTGGATGTGTTTAAAAGTCGGGACGTGAATGTGGTGGAGAAGCGACTATTGATGAAGTTTCTGCAGAGTTGCGCAAGTTGGCAAGGGGAAGGAGAAGGGAGCGAGCATCAGGCAGCGGAAGTCGAGGACGAAAGACGTTCCTGGAGTATTTGAAGAAACAAAAGTTGACCTCGAATTTGATCCATTACTTGTTGTACACAATCGCCATGGGGAATGACCACACTAGCTGCCGGGACGGGTTGGAAGGGGTGAAGAAGTTTCTGCTTAGTTTGGGTCGATACGTAAACAGACTGTTTCTGTTTTCGATGTACGGATGCGGGGAGATTCCGCAGTGTTTCTGCCGGCTGTGCGCCGTTTACAGAGGGATTTATTGTCTGGGTAAGCCGATCGAGAGTATTAATTTAAAGCGAGATGACTATCAAGGGGCTATCAATCGTTTAAGTTCGGCAAACAGATTATAGAGGCCAAAGGGTTGGTCATAGGGCAGGGGTACGTTGGAGAAGGAGATTTTCGGAGTAAAGGAAGGCACGAGGGAAGAGAAGCGAAAGGAGCACTGAGGTCAAATGGCACGTGCTATATTTTTGACGAATGTTCCATTGGGTGGTGCATCGCAGAATTCCGGTGGAGGTGGCGTGTCGCCGATGAAGCTGTCCCCCGTGGAAGAGCACGAAGATGGGGCTACCATTATCCAGTTGGCACACTTTAGTGGCACTTGCCCGAAGGACATTTGTAAGTAATCAGGTCTGACTATAGGTGTGTGGACAATTTATAATTTATTTTGATTGTTTTCAAGATCTCATCCACGTGACGGCAAAATCCAATAGGGGTGACCCTACGGAACCCTACGTGTCGCAGATTCTCTCAAAAGATTATTTCATACCTCCGGAAGAATAACGTATCAACAATCCTCTACGAATTGTACTTCAACATTCCGAAATGCGTCGCGTGCCAGCATCCGTCCGGCTCCCTGCCGGAAGGAATCCACCTGGCCTGCGGTCCGCTTTACGAGTTGGACTACGATGAAAGCATAGCGCGAGCGCGTTTGATCTTTAAGGATATGCTCCCGATCCGGACGAGATCATTATCGGCGACAAACACGCCGGTGCTGCCGACCAAGCGCTGGAAGTCGTGGCCAGTGCCGAAGAAAGTGACAAGGTGGAAAGCGCTCGGGAGTGTCAGGAAAGTGATGCGAGCTCAAAACCAGCTGCCGCCACAGCACCGGGCCTTTCCGACGCCCAGGAAGCAAAAGAGGACTCGATCGACAATGCCGAAGAATGCCTGGAGCAAAAATAATCAAACATTTGCACTCTTTTGCTTGCTTAATTTATTCCAACTGTGTTGATATTTTTATTTAATGTGTGTACGTGTGTAAAATCGCAACGCTGACGTTTTATCATAGTATTTAGAGGCAATAAATTACTACTTCTTCTGCTTAAACTGATGCAATAGTTATTTTTTAAAGCCCTCGGTAGCCTAAACACAAAAATGCTTTTAAAGTGAAATGTTCCGTTTTTTCCGATATGGACACTCGAAATGCCTTACATCATCTTTAGGATCTCTACTGCTGCAATGATGACTCCCGCAATTGGGGATGATGATTCAACGTCAAGCTCAACATTATAAAAGCAGACCATTTCGGCCTCTAATGAGCTAGATTATCCTTAACTATATGAAGAAATGAGCGGATAATAATCATCCAGTCAATGATTGACCGATGGTTGTATAAAGATATTCCTTTCTATTTTGGTAGTCATTCCATATACGCACTACCAAATCAGAGAGATCGGGCCAACAGTCGGCGGTTAATTTTTGCAGGACGAGTCTAGGGGGCACGATAGTGAAAGTTGATCGAATGGTTGCTGAGCAGATGTGGGCTATTTCATCGGATTATTCAGAATATGCTTTGTTCTTCCCGTTATGCCACTCAACAAGTTCATACATGGCTATGAAGACAGTTACGAAGAAAAAGCTGGTTATGTATATTTTGTGTATGCCAGAACTAGCGCTACTTGAAAAAAAAAATCCATTCCCGTATTCGTGAACTACTATGAAATATGCAACGGTTCCCGTTCACTAAGGCTGTGAACCATTTGCCGAGTTAAATTTAACTCGTGGTTAAAAGTGACATTTCGAAAGTTATTTTCTATGTTCGAAAATCCCCGTGCTGTTGATCGACCGGTTTTCGACCACAGTTGTCAAAATTTAACTTCTTGTCTGTCAGAAGTAACCACGCTCGGATAGCAGGGTTAATCGATACTTTCCATCTGTCAAATTTTAACCAAAAGTTAAAATAATTCGCCAAATGGTTCAGAGCCTAAGTATATTAAGACATCAAACGACCAAATGCGTGCTTCGTGGGTGGCATAGTTGAAATCCTCCCGATCATATTCGCATCGATCCTTGCTCCATGTATTCTCACGAGGAGGTCACCACTCGTTCCGACCAATTCTGCCGGTAATGGGTTGTCGGCTGCAATATCCGATGTAAAGGACCTAACGTCTCCAGGTAGTTAGTAGTCATGAAGTCAATTATTGAAGTAGTCAATTCATTCCAGATTTCGGCCTCTAATGAGCTAGATTATCCTTAACTATATATGAAGAAATGAGCAGATAACAGGGAGAGTCAACCAGGTCAATCCATCGGTTGTGTAATATAACGTTGTACGATGTACATCGATGTTGCGAACAAAATTACATCCATTGATGTAATATTGTATCTACTTTTGGCTATTACATAATTATTTCATACATCAGCTTGATCGATATTACATTTTTTTGCTGCGTGTGCGATGAGAGTTCTCGAAATAAACAAAAAATAAATAACTCCGATTGCTCCGATTGAACTCGGAAGCGCATCGCCCAATACTCTAACAGAGCTGTCAAAGCCGTCACAAATTTTTGCTTGGATATTTTGTTTTCGCTAATGATGGCTTGGCTTCTAAAACAAATTCTACTCTTCAAGTCGGATATTGATCATTAAATATTGGCTATTATTGGTCAAATAATCCGTAGCGATGCTGTGCAGGTTCGTATTGATTGAAGTTGATAAAAATCCACATTCAAATTAAACCCTTTCCGTTTTTTTTTCTTTCGTATCCAGGCAAGTGATTCCCGACAAGAAAAATGGGATCGAACAGATCTACATAGTCAAATCTGAGAATGAACCGGAATCGCAGAACACCGTCGATGCTCTGGCCGGTCCATCGATGGATCCGGAAGATGTCGACGTCAAACAGGAACCACCGAGTGACGATGAACAAGATTCGGCAGTGCCATCGGCAGCCAACCTTCATTTCAGCATGTTGGATGTCATCATAAAAGAGGAACCAGATGAATTGGACGAGAGTGGCAAAGCTTCGCCTGTGGCAAGTACAAGTTCGAAACGGGTTAAAACAGAGCCAGTGAAGCAGGAAGGTAAAGGTGGTGAATCCGATAGTACAAGTGATTCAGAGACAGAAGACTCCGGTTCCGATTGGTCGGAAAAAAATAAAAGCAAGACCGGAAGGAAATCAATTATCAATAAATCCAAAACCGATGATGATTCGTCGGACAGTAGTGGTGTGATGGACCCGGAACCTATTCCTCGAAAAGTGGAGGTTAAAAAAATCTACAACAAGCGTAAAAGATATCCGGAAGATCCACCGATTCGACAGAACGTAATCAAGCGTTTCGTATGTCATTACTGTTCCAAGAAATTTTCCACTCAGTATAATAGAGAACGTCATGAAAAAGTGCATGAAACAAATATGCCGCCCGAGCAGCGAATTCATAGAAAACAAAATTACTGCTACATTTGTAAGAAAGAGCATGAAACTAAGGACGAACTCCATAAACATCTCTGCGTTCACGCAGATATGATACCGTACATCTGTGCGGAGTGTGAAAACCCGATTAAGCTAAGTTCTGTCAGACTGCTCAACAAGCACATTCAATTACACCAACAAATTGAAACGGGCATTATCAAGTGTAGATTCTGTCCGGTACGATTCCACTCCCTTTCCGGATGTCAACAGCACGAGAAGGGTCACGTAGAAAAGGATAAACTAGAGGAAGCCGAAGCCAGAGCTGAAATCGAGAGCAAAAGGCTGAACATTAAAATCCTCATCGTAGATGGGCTGAAGCGTTACGAGTGTGAGTATTGTAAAAGATCCTATACCCTGTTGGCCACGCTTCGTAGACATGTAAATTCTCATACCAACGAGAAGGTTTACGTGTGCAAAACGTGCGGGAAAGTTTTCAACCATTCCACTTCTTTGACTTTACACGAGAAGGTCCACACGGACTTTGCACCGTACAAATGCGAAACATGCGGCAAAGGATTCAAGGAAGTCGTTCGTTTAATTGAGCACAGGTGAAGCTGATGGTAATTTAGCAGTTGCACCAAAAATCATTCACAAGCTCGATTGTTATTTCAGGCATATTCACACCGGGGATAAACCGTTTTCATGTCACTGTGGCTTATCATTCATCAAGAAGGGTGGCCTAACGAAACATCAGCGCAAGTGTGATATACCAGAAAATTTGGGATCTTGTGTGTGTCGATTTTGCCAAGTTTCATATCCTTCGTATTTGGAAATGATTCGGCATGTCCAAGAGGTTCACGCGCCGGACATGGAGGATACAATGTGTCGGTTTTGCCCGGTTAAGTTCAAAGACGCCGCCCAGTTGGCCACACACGAGCTACGTCATGAGCTACCCGGTGCAATTAAGTGCACTCAGTGCACTCGAATATTCAAAAATAAATTCAATTTGGACGTGCACATGCAGGTAGGTTCGCGGTTTATTTGTGACCGCACACATTTGAATGATAATAATGACTGATTTTCCAGACACACGAGTCTTCATTCATGTGCCATGTTTGTGGGAAAACGTTCCTACACAATGTTAATTTGCGAGTCCACAGGCGCGTTCACAGCGATAAGCGTCCACATGTGTGCGATCTTTGTTCGATGACGTTCAACTGCGCCGCAACGATGAGAAAGCATAAACTAACGCACTATAAGCCGGCTAGTAGAAATTACATCCCTGGATTGGTTGATAATACTGTAGTGGAAATAGAAGACGATGAAGAGGAAGAGGAGGAGGAGGAAGAAGAGGAAGAAGTGGATGAGGAGGATGAGGATGAGGAAGAAGAAGATGTTATGGAACTGGGCTCGAGCAATGTAGATCTTGATGGTAAACAACCTGGGCTAGTCTCTAACGATCTAGCAGCACTCCCGGGTGGAATGATGCAAGGTCCTTAAATGATAGACCGTACTGGAAGGTTGATGAAAGTAAGTAAGGCAAATTATAAACTAATCATATATGTATGGGTACCTAAAACCAATTTATAAACGGGAAAATAGTATACTGTCTACTGGCGGTGGTAATTTGTTCAAACTCGAAAGCCTTGTAACAAAGTCTCCTATTAAAAATGGGTTCTTCAACAGCTTTTTACCAAGAACAGTACATATGTACCTCACCTATTAGACAACATAGCGTTCAACATATACTAATGCTTCCCAACTGACAGCACAACATGTACGTTCAATTCTCTCAACATATTAATTTTCTGCTCTCGCGCAATCGAACACACGCTAATGTTGTGCTCCATCTCCACGCATACAGTCATGTGCACTGCACGACGAGCTTCGCTCCCGCTCTCTCACGCTTCCAATCACTCCAAACCAAACGAGAAAAGTATCGATCACACGCGTTCTCCGCTGCCGCCGCGGCGGTCGTAAATTGGTGGAGTGTGCCGTCCACACACTGCCAGTGTCGTGCTTCTACGCTCTGGCATATCAACCATGCTGATGCGGTGGTGCACAGTGGGTTGTTTGCGTGAAAATTTAAATGGGAGAATCTAGTGGCTTTTGTTGGGTTCAGACTCCGACGTGCAGTGCATCCGCAACGGCATCATCAACAAATCTGTAGTCTCCGATGTCATTAGCCTATGTTACCGAGCATCCGATGGCACAATTCGTCGGTAGAATTATCTGCTTTATTTCCTGTTCATATGGGACAGTTATGTTTTTATGGGTATTTCAGTGGCAATTATCTTGCTGACACTTTTGATTTCCATCAAATCACATACCAAGCTTATCCACGCGTTGAATGTTAAACAGCTAGTGGGGAAGTTGAGTTTAAACTGATGTAAATAACGAATTCACAAAATTTTCATTGCAGAACGTTGTCAGCAATGATAGTCGGGGAATACACGAATGGAAATATAACGGAGAAGGGAGAGAACAAAACAGAAAACGGCAGTCGGCTCAGGTCAGTTCGTCCGACCGAATTGTACCGACAGGAATGGAAAAGTGCGCGTGTTGAAATATTTCATCCCACGTGCCAGATATTCAAACGGTGCGAAACAAAACTGGAATTTGGGAATGAATCATTCATTAGAAATTTCTACTGGCTGCTGTACATAACTTTTACTGAGGTTTTATCAAAGATAACTTACAGCTTTATGTTATCTTTGGCTTTATGATCTTGATTGAACAAATCCGAATTTTGTAGCATAAAAAACCAAGCAGCTTTGGTGGTGGGCGTTGGCCAAATTTGGATTTTTCAGATATAATCCTAAATAGGACCTAGATTATTTAATACTCTAGTAACCTCAAGTCCGTGCTCTGTCACAATGTTTCATTGTGATTAATCAACACTCAAAGGGGTAAAATATCAAATTTGGGGTGAATTTGAAAGAAAGGGAACTTGGAGTGTAGAGCGCACTGCCCACTGGACGATTCTGAAGCCTGGCCAAGTGAGTGGGGTATGGGTTTATTTGATTGAACGTCATTTCCAATGTATATATTGATACATTCAAACCATTGGCATTTGAGATAAGACAGAGATAGGATGCGGAGGGCCCGCTTAGGGGAAGCGTAACCCATGTTATGGTTTCCATTTATTAAATCGTTCAGATAGGCTGGAAATGACAGGTTCATGGTGAGAAAATGTACCATATGGGGCCCGTTCACTGATCAAAATCAGATTCACATCGTCAGACCCTGCCCAAGAATAAGGGGATTGACGATGTCTTGTCAAGTTTTATTTTGAATTTGCGTTTTGTATTTAATACTCTAGTAAATCTCGCGTCCGTGCTCATTCACAACAGTGTGAGGTGTCAATGCTCACTGGGTCATATGTCTTAGACCAGTTCCAGATTAGTTTGCTATTAATATCTTCTGCATCGCAGTTCGCGATAGATTCCTAAATATGGGTTCTCTTTTCCGACCATAATAGTGTGAGGGAAGGGGGTGAGTTCTGGATCAACAATGGAAGGGGGCCCATCGGTTTTTGTGGGCAGACCGTCCAGAGCCCATTCCTCACAGATCGGGGGCTGCTCGCGCGGGCCAACACCGTCTTCGTGTAGGTGGAAGTTTTCCCTATCCGATGATGGTGTTGGTTTGCGTGGGTGGCCTTCGCTTTGTGAGTGGGGGGCTTTGGAGCGGTTTGTTTACGAATGCTGATGGGCCCTTTTCTATTGTTGATCCAGCGTTAAACGTTCGATATGAGAGCGACTAGGGCAAATAAATAGGGAAGACAACACCATGACCCAAATAAGTAACCAATGCATGCGGCTCACACTTAACTTGTTCTATTTCTTTCTTTCTTCCTATCATGTACTAATATTAACTGCCTGAGGACAAATGGGAACACGACCAGAAACCAGAAACGAACAAGAAAAGAAGAATTAAACTTGCACCGGCAAGAGGAAACAGACAGAAAGGATCATGCCGGTTGGAGACAGCCAATGTATACTGGACGAAGCTTGTATCTAGGAAAAGTCGTATGTGCAGGAAACCGTAAGTAGGATAAGAATCGTAAAAGGTGTGTGCTTACTTGATAAGATCCTAACTTTACTTTAAATACACGGTAGGAATCGAATATCCATTTATGATTAAGGTTTTGCCCATTTTTCAGTGGGAGTGGCAATACTCATTGATGAGTGATTTATCGTACCCATTTATTAGTAACTGTTAGCAGCTAATGATTAATTGATTTACCTATTTTAGAATTACCTATACTTCACATCAGAACCTCATTTCCTTCAATTACTACTCCGTCGCAGCACACACCTTATATGGATCGCTAACCTTTATTTAGTTTCAGCATTTTCGACATTATAATCAAAAGGTGAGTTTTAAAAGTATAATTACCATGCATAAGTTAATGTACCAGAACCTGGACGGACACGAGCCTACCCAGGGGAGGACCCGGATACGACCACCCATGTGTGTCTAGAGTATCGCACGAGCTGACGAGTGCAACGGGAAGGACAGTAGGTGTATAGACTAGGGGGTTGGTCCCTAGATAAGCCTTCTTAGCGGAAGGCACAGCCTATGCACTGAACAATTACAATTACAATTACAATTACAATTTCAGTGGCAATTATCTTGCTGACACTTTTGATTTCCATCAAATCACATACCAAGCTTATCCACGCGTTGAATGTAAAACAGCTAGTGGGGAAGTTGAGGGATGAATGTCCATGGTAAGGAAGTTTACCGTTTAAATCACCACAAAATGAATTGAAATTTTCTTAACCTCAATCTACCTTGCACCAACTCTCAAAACATAAACAACTATCAAAATATTGCTTGCAATGGATTATGAGTAAACTAGAAGATTCAATATATTTCTCAACCGATTCGAGTATGAATATGGCATTAAATCTGGTATTGAAAGTTGGTGCACAGGTAAAAAATGAGGTTACGCGACGCCACTGTATATATAGCCATCACAAGTGTTTAAGGTGTTTTCTTGTGGAGTTCTTTTCCTTATAAAATTTCGTAATTCCAAGAGCACAAATCTCAAGATTTATGAGGTTTAGTAATCTGTAAATTTCAGACATTGCTTGCTTTTCCGCTACAAACAACAAGTAGTAGTTTTGGCTACGTGCATTAGGGGTCATCCACAAATTATGTTAGGGTTTTTGAGTGATTATTAGATCCCCTCCTCCTTTGTAAGACAGTGAAAGATTTGAAGTTAAGTCCAATCCTCCCTAAAATCTTAGTAAGATTTTTTAAAAAAATCGTTAGGAACATGTTCATCAAAGTGTAGCACTTTTTCATACACTCATTTAATTTATATTAAGTTTTCTTGGCATAAAAACAGTTCAAATGAAATTATTTTCAAAAGATTTGGGCGTTTGCCAAATTTGGATTTTTCAGATATAATCCTTAAATGTTCAAGAGTATTTTTAATACTCTAGTAAATCTCACGTCCGTCCGTTCTCCATCACAACATTGTTATGTGTCAATGCTCAAAGCTTAAATTTGAGGGTGAATTTAAAATACAAGGAAATTTGAGTAGAGTGCACGTGTCCACTGTCTGACGCTAAGCCAGACCAAGTGTGAGTTATGGGTTTTTATTTTGCACTATTGCTTAGATTTAGAAATTAGTATGTGAAATTTTTGTTTGGCATTAAATTCTTTAGCATTATTTTTCGGTGAAGGGCTGTTCATTAACTACGTAGACGGGTGGAGGCGAACCAACCCAAGGCTGAAAGCCTCATTTATAAAGTTAAATAATAATAATAATAATAACTACGTAGACAGTTTTTTGGGATTCTTGCCCCCTCCCCCTGCGTACACAATTGTCCATACACATTTTTTTTTAATTTGTATGGGCCGTGGATAATTGCGAATCTTTTGGAATGCGACATCACACAGGCACTCATGCGACATCATACAGGAATCTCAGCAAACATTCAGATTCAGTTAAGCATTATTCGAGACTCAGTAATCAAATGTCACTTTTGCTGTGGTAAAAAAAACTAAGTGTGTACCTTTGATTTTCTTTTCTTTTTCCTAAATAAAGCTAAATTAATTAATTAATTTCTTTTCTTTAGATCAAGACGATGAAGTTTTGAAGAAGACAACGATATTAACTATCTGCACGCTGGATCAACATATAGCCATGCTAGAGGGATAGAACATCATTTTATTTTCATAAAAACAGAACTATCATAAGAGATTACCAGGAAAGTCCTTTGGGATATGGGATCGCGGAGAAGAATTGGAAGACCATGATCCACTCACGTTCTGGAATAATCATCACGAAAAGCGTCCACAAGAGAGTAGTGGTGGTCACATTGCCCCCGAGTAGCTGGGAACATCCTTAGGAGCGATCCGGGCGGAATTTTGAAAACGACACTCACGTACAGAATACCATTGGAAGACCGGCATATACCTGGAAACCTGTATGCTACAGGACGTGGAGAGGAACAAAATTCCCATTGAAATATGGCAGGATATAGCACAAGAAAGAAGCAAGTTCAAACAAAGCCCTAAAAAT